GATGTTTGTGGAAAGAACGGGGTTCTATGTCAAGCATTAAAGGTAAATACTTGCTTCTACATGTTTGTTTCCTCTTATATCTATGTCAGTTTATGGACTCTTGAAGTTTTGGTATGTAATTTTACATGATATACATTTGTTATTGGTTTATTGGTTGATTATCAGTTTATCACACATTAGGCATGTACTGGATTTGAGTCTAACATACATGTGTGTGAAACCTATGTTAGAGTTTAGAATGAGGTAGACCTGATTTAACACGTACCTGAACTTGGCTTGATTTTCTTGGTGTCCTCACACAATAGTTTCCAGCCTGTTTGGGGTCCATTTGTTCATGACTACATAGGCTGATGGGGATTGTGTCGGACATGGTTATCTATAAGTCTAGTACATAAGTGTGTGGTAAACCTCAATCCCTTGAGGTCTTTTGTGTGTGTGTGTGTGTGTTGTCAATCCAATTTAACATTTATATAATGTCAGATAAATTATAATCCTTTTTATAATTATTAATCCTTCAGGGCTCAATTCATTGTAAGGTTGATACAAATACAAGTCTTCGTAGAGATTCCTTCCGCAAGCACGATCTTTTTCATTGCGTTGGTGCTACCATCAGCTTGGTGACCCTATCCACTTCTCAATTTCTTCTTTTTTTTGTCCATTGATGGGTTGAGATACATAGATAAATTATTGTGTTATATTTATATGATGAGTTATGGATGTTGTTATGGTTCTGGTGATGAATTTCTGTCAGTTTTTTACTTATATGATTATGTATATGCATCTCATTTTGTTAATAGATGCATCTCCACACCCTTCTTTTATTTTCCTTGTGTGCAGGACCTTCTTGGAAGATAAAGTTCATTGATTGAAGTGGCTAGTGCTGCTTTTTGATACAACGCAAACAACGCTCTGAATTTCAATATAATAAGCCTTTAATTTTGTTAGTAATGTCTAATGTGAAAGATCTGCCTTTAATTACAACGCAGGTCTTAAGTTGTCTTTATAAAGGCCTTACACCTTTTTGTACCTTAAGTCGGTAATATTAATTTATATTTTATTTATACATTTTTGGGACATAATACTCTGTATATTTTAAATGAGTAGCATTTTTTTGGTATTGGATGTATACCTTGAATATGGGTGATTAATTTATATCATTGATACTTTATGTAAACCTGTGAAGTACAGATGTATTAAATTATTAATTTGGAGCAATAATAAAAGAAAAAGTATTTACCCTAAATAGGAGTAAAACAATAAAGAAGTTCCAAATTAGGAGTTCATATTGATTTATTCTCCAAATAGGAGTTAACTATTTGACCGTGCAATTTCTTTTCCAATTATACCCTTCTATTGATTTTTTTCCGCGTCAGTCTTATCCTCCCACCCTCTCTCTCCTCTATCTCCACTCATTTCTTTTTTTTCTCCTGCCACACGCATCACTTGCACGTTCTCTTTCAATTCATCATTGTAAGAGCACTAGCCCTTCTCCTTCTTCTACTGTTACAAATTAATCTTTCTCACCAACTCCTAGCAAGAATTCAAGAGCGTCGATCATGGCAGGTTAGTTTGTATCATCTCCTTCTCCCTTCTTCTTCCCTCTTCTTTTTCTTCTTCCTTTTTATTTCCCCCTCTTTTGCAGCGTGAAGTTGCTGCCTATTTACCCCCTTTTGACTGATTTTCACTTCAATTTTTTCTCTTTCATGATTTGTTTCAATCAAACCATTTTCTTGCTCTCTTCTCGGTTCTGACTTTAAATTTTTATCAAGATTTTATTCTTTTGAAATTTTATCTTTTACAATATGTATTATAATTTTTGACATTTTATAAAAATGCCAGATTCCTCTTCTTGAGTTCTTTTGTAATTTCGGCACATAATTCCATTTTTCTATATAAAAATATTATTTTGGCACATAGTGCCATTTTTTTAAAAACAATATGACAATTACAATACTAATAATGTCATGTTTTTAACACCAATAGTGCCAATTATATGGCAATAACTCACAATGATGGCAATATTATACCCTTGTAAATACATTATTTATAATGCCAAGAAAAGGTCAAGATGGCCAGAAAATTCATATCCTCTGTTTTTAATATACTCGGGTATATACAAATGACATTCAAATGGTTAGATTACATTTACAAAGTTGCACATATTTTAGATGGACAGTGATGGAGCAAAACGTGGTGGTGTTACATGAATTCCACTGGCGGCGGTGGCGGCGGCCGTGACTGGTGGTGGCAGCATCCAGCGGCGTCCAGCGGTGGAGCGATCGGCCGTGAGGTGATGTTGGGGTCAGGCGGCGCCGACATCTAGTGTAGGTGGTGGGTGGTGCTAGCGCAAGAGGCTATGCTATCGTTATGTTACAGCCTTTTTATTATTCTATTTTACATTTTTAATAAATATAATTAGGGTTTTCATTAAGGACAGTTTTGTCCAACCATGTCTTTTTACTCCTATGATATCACACAGAACAATGTACTCCTATTATTGCACTTTTGTTATGATTTACTCCTAGTTCAGGAATTTACTCTAAAAGAAAATAAGAAGCATGTAAATTATCCATTTGGAGCAATATAATAATAAGAAAACCAGCAGCAGTGATTACATGTAAAAGTTGTTGGCTTGTTGCAGTTGTTAGGGGAATTGCTCTACTTTGTTAAACTATTTGCTGCGGTCGTAGAGGACCCGCAGCTATAAGTAAATTAAAAAAAAAAATAGACACCTCTATTTGCTGCGGTTGTTAACCGCCGCAAATAACTTAACCCACATTTTGCTGCTCCTTCAATTGATGCGGTTCCAAACCGCAGCAAATAACTCAAAATAACCGCAACAAACAGACTTTTTTCTAGTAGTGTGTCTTCCCCTTTTTCCTTTGAAGCCACTCATGTTCTTTTTGCTTCCACACAAACTTCGAAGGGAACTGAGCGTACGATAGGACTCTTGCTTCAGGGTACTTTGCATTTTCATCCATCTACGCAAGAAATTTTGTTTTCTTTTGCGCTTGAGCATCCAATACCTCATGAAGGGAATCACCTTCGTTGAATATCACATGTTGTTCATCAAGCAAGTGAAATGTTAGTCTCTCAACAGAAGGTTCTCTATAATTTATGTCAAAGGCAAAAAGTCTCCATGCACCCTCACACGATGACAAATATCGACAATCATAATACAACTTTATTTCATTTACTGTCCTGCATGCACGGTGATTTCTTATTCAGCAACCCACACGAACCATGGACCATTAAAGTTGAGACAATCTTTAACAATTCAGGGTCACACTCTTCATCCAGCAGCTCAGCTGATATAATCTTATCAATATCATCTGGATGTGGATACCTATACTGTGGGTGCAAGAAAATTAATATGTGCGACGTGAGGCAACCCTCTCTTCTGGAACTCAATTGTGCATATTACTGCATACAAAAGATAAATTGTCATTAAGTTAAATCAATTTTGATTCGTATTTGTGTGGGAAAAATCTATGTCCTACACATACCTGCCCTCACTAATCCAAAAACTTTCCCTCCTTTGATCTCTTTAATCATCTCATCAAGTTTGATTTTGAAAACGCGACAAATCAAGTCGGGTCTATCTTCAGATTTCAATCCCTGGGCCCTCAAATATCTAGAGAGTTCAAGCCAGTTTTGATTGCATGTGAATGTAATGAATAAATCAGGATAGCCCATCCAGCGGCATATTGCCATAACGTCTTGATAATTCTGAAACATGTATCGTGCACCGCCCGTAAAAGATGATGGTAGCACAATGTGTTTACCCACAGCCGCTGGATTTGTATCACCCCTTAGGACGGCCTCTTCGATTCCTTTATACATGTCCACCCTAACTTTCTTCTGATGAGTACTGTAATAGTACAATCGAGTTGATTCAATTGTACTATATACGTCCACCAACAATTATTGAAACAGACATTTTGAAAACAAAAAGCATGATTGTTCAGCATCTCGATTTTGAAATCTGTAAGCATAAAACTGTCTCATTGAAACCTTGTCCCTCTTATGTGATCTTGCACTTTGAGTCTCGTTTAATGAGATATCATTTGTATATCCTTGCTCTCCCCTTGGGAACAACAATGGGTATTGTAATGGCAAATACGTCGAGCTCAAAACAGACACACGCTTCAAAGCATTTGATTGTGTTTCCACTATTATATCTCTCTCACCACTGGATGCATTGAAATCCCCCACAATCAGCGCTGCTACTTCTGAGGCCGTGGGAAGATTATATGTTCTAGCATCACGTCCTCTTTGCCCGAGAAGACTCAACTTTAGAGGTGCCACTTCATTGTTTTGCACTCTATCACGAACCATTCTGTAAGGATTGAGCTCATCAAGCATTTTTTTAGATCACTCACAATTGATGACTGGATAGGAGATGAACCATCTTTCATCCTATTTTCACAATGAAAAAATAACATGTGTAAGAAAATAATGAGTAATGGTTTTGTCGGTCCGGACCGAACGGAACGGCCATCCAACTAACGCCATTTGAGGGGATTCCCGGTGGAATTCTATGATGCATTTTTGTGAGAATGTCATTAATGAATTGTTGGTTATCTCCGCAAAATTTCAGTTTAAAACTCGATCGAAATGTTTTTTAAATAAATCATTGAAACTACTGCGCAAAACATGCATTTTGTTTTCAAAATTTATTTAACTAACTTATCGATTTTATATAGACAGAAAATTTTGTATGGATGTCTAAATTTCATGAAGAAAATTCTCACAATATTTCATCAAAAAAATATTGACCTGGAAGTCCCTCAAACAAGCTTGGCCAGACTGGCTAAGCCTGTTTATAGGAAAAATGAAATTGTATTCACATACATGTTTAATGTATGCAAATGAATTGTATTCGCATACATGGTTTGTGGAAAAATGACTTACCTAACCACTTCCATTCTGTTAGATATTTCATTATCTGTATCATATATGTATAGCTGTGCAAATTTGGGTTTCTCTCCGGGTAAAGGGAGCAAACTTCCGATTCTATGATAGTTCTCACCATTCAAGATATACATGGGAGGACCGTTGCCATCATTCTGAGACACTTCAATTCTTCCACCAAGAGACGTGAATGAGAACATCATATTGAAGGATCGAATATTTTGTAAGAAATATTTACTACGTGCATCCTTCTTATGGAATAAATCACTCAGAGGCTGCGGTGGAGGCATGAGATGAGGGATCTTTATTTTTCTTTGCATGCAACATAATGAGAACTTCGGGTTTTTTGCTTTGTATCCTTTGCCCATCCTCTCATAATACCACATTAAAGCATTACAAAATTCACACTCCCATGTTGGATCCCCAATGTCAAAATATCCTAATTCAGAATAAACCAACAACATAATGATCAACATGAGAAATAAATTTGTAATATACCATTACATATAGTCAAAAGTAATATGTTCTTGTAATACCCTCATGTGAAACTATAGGATCATCAGGCAGATCATTGTTTTCATCATCATTATCAGCGACATACTCTTTCGATGCATTTCCTATATATAATTGTGACATGTAAAATTAATTTTAAAGATGAAATATATAAGATAATGTGACAATATAATTAAGGCTGGAAGTTATTGTAATTGTGGAGAATGTAGTTTACCAATTTCAACACCTTGAATGTGTATGGTAGATCAATTCGAAGCCAATGGGTCATGCACACTTATGTCAGAAATGTGAACATCTGTGTGTAGCACATGTTACTAAAAATGAACATTATTTCCAAAATAAGAAAAGGAATCAAACATTACCGAGTTCTTCATTGTTATTCAAAACACGGTGAATTGGCGTTACACCAGTTCCACTTGTGTGTTCTTCTACAGAAAAGATAAACAATTCATATTGCTAATGTACTCTTGATTATTAAAATGAATATAAAATGCATTTACACTTTACATACCATTATAATGATGTTAGGATGGGATGGTGGAAAAGGTGGCCGATTATGCATTACTGGATTTGAACCATTGGACCTCACAATATTGTCATTACAACCCTGACCTGAGAATGAAAGGAATTTACATATATTGTTTTGAGTAATTTACTTTATGTATAGGATGCACCATCCGGTTTATGTATTCAAAGCGTTACAAAAAGTAACCAAAGTTAATTGTACTATGCAATCACAAAATATAATGACATTAAATTAAGAATCTATTTATATCATACCTCTCAAACGTGCCAAACATTTAAAGAAGTAGTGATAGCACAGTTTAGATAAATTAGACTAAAACGTGCCAAACATGGCCACAGAATAAAATATTGCTCTTATCATTGAACAGGAACTTAACATCTAAACAAACTAAAATAATAATATAAAAATAGTCCAAACATACTTGTCCATGCAATAAATTAGTTTAAAAAGGGATCTTGAATACTAATTTATTCCAATTGGTGATTTTTGCACGTAAATTGCCAAACAGTCTAAAAAGAAGCATGCTTAAGCGCATAATATAACTTAGAAAATTCACCAATTATCTTAAAAATGAGCAGTAAATAAAGCTCATCTCAAAGCCAACTTAAGAAAACACGATCTACCCAATGGGTTCCTTTTTCACTTCCACAACCTTTCGCAATTTTGTGCTTGAAGCCTGACTCTCACTCCATTCCACAGTCTCAGCGGACCTCTTCCCAGTTGATGTGCTGGTTGGAGTAGCAGCCTCAACATTCACCCCCGAGGAAATCTAATATCAAAGAATTTAAGATGCTTAACGACGTACATTAATCTGAATAACACAAAGGATGATTGTACTTAAAAGTGTTGATGTGACGTACATTAGTCAAAAGATGCACATCTGGGTTGCTATTTTCAACGTTGGAGTCCACCTCTTCGACATCCTATGATCAATAACAGCCAAGTAGTCTAATTTATAAGTTTAAGGTGCATATAAAACATTAGTTAATGATTTTTTTTTTAAAAAAATACATTATCATCTTCCCCAAATTCTTGAGAGCCACAAATGGGGGAAACTGCACCATCTCCAACTTGATTAACCTGTTTTATGTGACAAATGTTTTAGGAAATAACGTGATACATTCAGAATCCACAGAAAACATGTCATCTTAAAAATAAACAGGTCATCTTAAAATAGGTTATCTTAAAAATAAACATAGAAAACTGTTACAATGATAACTATACACACCTTAGACGAATTTAGCGGCCCATTTTTTTTTATTTTTTCATCTTCACTGATTATTTTTTTTATTGCATAGCTTCTCCAGCCCTTTCCAATATTGTCATTGCTATTCTCTATCTTGAACAACAAATCTTTGCATGTCAAAGTGTCAAATTCCTCTGCTACAGAATAGCTCGGATTCTGCACATGCACAAATTTTAGATAGTCTGGGGTTTCAATAGTGTCATGAAATTGTTACAACATTACACAAATTAATCCCTGGGTAAAAATTGTATTAACCTTCTGCATTTTAGAAAGCAAGTTAGTTGCAGATCTTCCCAAAAGCCTTGTCATCACACGATCAAACGCAGTAAACGTAGTGGATCCAGTCTGATCCATAACTTTGAGTGTAACCTTAAATCTGAATTAAAAAATCGAGTCAAAGTTTGCTATAAGCGGTTTGTGTAATCACACGTATGCCATTACATAATGTGTCATACATAGGAATTGCAGACTGTTCCATCCCACACTTTGGACCCTCACAATAGAACTTATTGCCCAAAGGGTAACACCTTCTATAACATGTTGTGCATGAATGATAATACCAATCACTATCACCAACTTCAATCGCACTTGCCAAAACAAATGCCTGGCAGTTCTGTGCAATATTTGAACTATTTTAGAAAATGATAATTCAACATAATGAATGCATATATACATAATTACCTCTGAACAATCGATCAAGTCTGAAATGATCATGCATGGGGTCTGTAACAGATCTTCTTCAAATGTGTGTGTAGTTTGAGAAGAGACGTTGCTCACAACTTGACTTAATGCTTTCCCTCCAGAGTAAAATCTGCAATTTAACTTTGTTTCATTATTCTTAAAATCATGATATGAGTGTTCTGTTAATAGGGTTGCAGCTACTGTGAAATAATTTAAACTGAAATGTTGGGTATTGACACAACATAGATTTCATAGGACTGCAATTTGTGTGAAATAATGTAAAACTGAAAGTTTAACAGTATCTTTTTATTAAATATGTAAAGCATTAATTTAATTGACACATAGATTTCATTGACACTTCATTGCAGGTAGACGTCAATGTCTCAAAGCAAGAAGACACCAAGTCAAGCAGACTGGGAAGTTAGCTTTTAAAACAGGTTTGTTTCAATTTCAATTTAAAGTATCAATTTTAAAAAAATTGAAGCATGTTATATACTAATTCAAACTCAAACAGTAAACTTTAGTAACGATTATGAGAGGACAACAAATAAATTATACTTTTTTACCCTTGTTTGTAAAATAAAGAATATTTTAAGCTTATACTAAGATAATTATAATGTGTACAACCATAATTTTTTTATAAAAACATATCAATAAATAAAAAACTATACTTATACCTTTCTTTATAATCATGAATTTTCGAGAGAGGTGAGTTTATATGCAACTTTGTTCCAAAATATGCATTGGACAATCTTACTTTTCCTGTAAAAGCAACAATTTATTTATCCAGAAAGAAACGAATTATTTAAAATTTTAAAACAATTATTTATTTATGGAAAATATGTTAAACAAAACAGAATGTATTGAATATAGTATTATAATTACAAAAACTAAATTATTAAACAGACCATTGAACATTCTGGTCTGGCAAATATCCAAAATAACACCCTCAGTGTGCTCAGCATTCAAATAGTTCCAAATTTGGTCTACCAGATCCGCCCACAGTGTGCATCCCAACCTATTACCTCTGGAACAACACATGCAACACAATCAATTTTGATAAATGAATTCATCTAATATCTGTGATGTATTTATTTATTTATTTCATAATTTTTTATTAATTAAACGCACTCCAGATCTTCCAAAACAATGTCTATCAGCCTTTTTTGGATCATCCTTCGAAATCTCCATCAAATTATCCTTCTCGACAATATGACCAATAACATCTGAAATAACATAATTTACAGTGTTATGCATGTATGTGATGTTGTATACAAATTAAATTAATAAATGTTATGTCCGTATATGAAAACACATACCAAACATCATATTCTCGTGTTTTCCGTCCAAAATGTCTTTAAAGCTAGCCCATTGAAAATGATGCATAGGCACATTACTAAGGCGTAGTTCTCCGCACCTGGTCACTCCCAGGAAGTTGAGACGGTACTTGTGAGTAGTGTTAGAATATTATTTTATTGTGTTCAAATTAATTGTAATTTAATTAATGAGCCTTTGTATTTTAATTAGATTAGCTAAGAGAGAATTAGGCCCACTTAATCTGGCTCAAATAAACCCACACGCCTAAAGCTGTTGTTTCCTAATTGTATTAGGGTTGGCCGAACTACTCCCTATAAATTCAGAAGGGGTTGGTCGAAATCAGCACTAAGTCTCTACACATTCTATTCCGCATATTATTCTCTGTAGAGCCAGTAGACTAGAATTTCTCTCTCTAGCTGATACGTTCGAGTACTGTGTAATTGTTCTTCATGGATACATCATTCTATATACACGGTATACGTTATTGGTGAAATTTCTCTTCTATTGTTTTAATTCTTTTCAATATTCTTAGATTATTCGACTATTGTATCTGGGCATAATTCACACAATTGGTATCAGAGCCTCAGCGCAATAATGTTCATCTGATTCCCTGAATTTTTCTGGAATTAATTTGATCAAAACCACAATTTTTGGTTGAATTAATCTCTAGATTTGTTCTTGGAAACTTACTGTTTTAGAAGGTTTCTACTACAAGGAAAGCCACGGAAGAAGAATCCCAGTACAAATTGAGTTACCAAATTTTCGGTCATCCGAGATCTTCCAAATAATCGCTGATCCGACATCCTTTATAAGCATCCGAATTTCCAAATTTCGAAACCCGAAATTTGCACTCCCGAATTTGTATTTTCGGACCCCCGATCTCTAATCATCCAAAATCAGGTTTCCTATTTTAAGATTTCGGACATCATCCGAGATCCCAATTTCGGACATCCGAAATCAGCCTATCCGAAATTCTAAACAACCATCCGAGTTTCTAATTTTGGATGCCCCCCCCCCCCCCCCCTCCGAAATTTTCTTCCGGAATAAGGATCAGAAATCCTTTTAAAGCAGTACCAAAATCTTACTTCTTCTGAACAGTTCTCGCCTTAAGATCAAACAACAGTCATGGAAGCTTACACACTTGGAAGTGATTCAAGACCTCCTCTGCTTAGGAGAAGAGAATTTGCTGTCTGGAAAGTCCATTTCCTCAATTTCATTCGTAGCCGAGACAACGGAAAGAATATTCTTGACTCTCTTAATAAAGGACCACTCGAAGTTTGGGTTGATGTTCCAGCT